ATACAGGGCTCCTTCTCCCAACAGGTGCTGGAGCAGGTAAGTGGGCCGAGGCGGTCTGTACTGCTTGTTCCATGGTTGGGCTTTTTCTCAAAGGATCTAACTGAGGGCTTGACCGACCTAAAACGTAACCAAAAGATAAGAAACTACCCTACTGGGGATTTCAAAATAATCTAGACTCTGAAACTGTCTAGAGCTTTATTTCTCTCAATTTAAATCCTTAACACAAATTCGAGTTAATCTATTTATCAGACCAGAGCTTAACACTGGTTATCTTTAATGGGCTGTTCCTAAGGTTAAAAACAAAACAATGTATCTCCCATCTTGCTCCCACCAAAACCCTACCCCCACAACTTTATTTCCATCTAGTGGAGTAAGGTTTTTCAAAGCTTCTATCTGGTCTAACATTCCCTAGGAATATTATTAAAGATCATTTGGTAGGCCAGCCAAATGTAGGCTTTCCTCAATATCAAGCACCATAAGATTATGAATGGCACATTTTAACTTTTTTAGCACTTTTCATAAACGACTAAAGTGGTATCTTTATGGGTATTGTCTCCATTAAATTTCTACTATAAAAAAGTAAAGAACTAGAGAGATAGGTGAAGTTCTTCAGTACCTAAGGAGTCTGAGTAACTAAACAAAACTCAAAGGCCAGTAAGAAATAAATCCTTCGGATGACTGCACAGCAGCCATACTTAGTCCTTGCCATTTGAAATATCTCTTGGCAAGTTTTTGGCGGTGTGGGGTTTGTACTTACAAATTCCATTTTTCCTTTTATGATGTCAGAGCCTGGTCACAGTGTGAACCAAAGAATGTTAACAGTGGGTCCGCCCATCATGTTTTTGTCCCCATGTTTGCTGTGAATCTGTCCAGGGAGTTCTTATATCCCATGATAGTGTACCAAAGTATAATGTTTTGCTAAACTATGCTCATTTTATGCAAAAATTTCCCAAATATGCTGCAAATGCTATTGCCCATGTGTGAAAATTTGCACTGCCTCAACTAGTGAACTGGTGAGTGCTGACAAGATAAGGGACAATTTATTAATAATATTCCCCAAGTTTATGGTTAACTGAAGTATGCAATACAAATGTGTATCACCATTTCCAGTCATTAATGACCAAGTTACCACAGCCAAAAAAAGATCAAGTTACCTAACAGAAACATCAATTTCTCCACTGATTATAATGGGGAATCATCGTGGTTAATGTAAGGTTTGGTTTATCAGAAAATATTTCACAGTCACCTATACTTAAAATCACAGGTATAGAGTTTTTTGAAAGGCCTATTGCTGTAATTTCTAAATACCACATTAAATGACCTGCCAAGGCTTCTGAGAAAAGATTCTGTGACTCACAGGGAGCTCAGAGGCACAAGAAACGAGGCAATCAAAGCAACTAACAAATTCATTTGTGTATTTTAAAAACCTCTTTAAGTCTACTAATCATGACACCAACTTTGTTATCAATACAGAAATACAGGTGATCGTGGACACATTATTCTTTTTTTTTTTTTTTTTTTGACAGGCAGAGTGGACAGTGAGAGAGAGAGACAGAGAGAAAGGTCTTCCTTTTGCCGTTGGTTCACCCTCCAATGGCCGCCGCAGCCGGCGCGCTGCGGCCGGCGCACCGCGCTGATCCGATGGCAGGAGCCAGGAGCCAGGTGCTTTTCCTGGTCTCCCATGGGGTGCAGGGCCCAAGCACCTGGGCCATCCTCCACTGCACTCCCTGGCCACAGCAGAGGGCTGGCCTGGAAGAGGGGCAACCGGGACAGAATCCGGCGCCCCGACCGGGACTAGAACCCGGTGTGCCGGCGCCGCTAGGCGGAGGATTAGCCTAGTGAGCCGCGGCGCCGGCGGACACATTATTCTGAATAAACTCAGAAGGAACATATTTCAGCATAATAAAACACATCCCTTTGAGCTAGCTTCACATTCTTATCTTAGTTAAAAGAAAATTCCAAGTGTTCCCTTTTGTGAAATTCAGAAATTTTAGTTGGTGAAATTTAAATGCAGATTTTTAGGCCTCCTTTGCCATCACTTCATATAAGTTTACCTGTTTCTCTATAAAAAAAGCACTTAAATTTTAACATCTTAATTTACTGCTTTATTATATATATATATTTTATTATCAAGCAGGTAAGCACATTACTTTTAGTTTTTAAGCAGAACGTGCTACACGTCCATGTTTAGTTTTAAGAAATTTTACATTTTATTATTTGAGTGACAGAGAGCACTCTTATTTGCTGGTTCACACCTGAAGTGCCCACAATGGGTGGCAGGGTTGAAGGTGAGAACTCAATCCAAGCCTCTCTCAGATGAAAGGAGCCCAACTACCTGAGCCCTCGTGGCTGCCTCCCAGGGTTCACATTAGCAAATCAGGAGCAACAGCTCAGAACTGAACCCAGGTACTTTAATGTGGGATGAAGGTGCCCTAACCAGTGCCTTTCTTATTTTTTAAAGATTTATGTTTGAAAGGCAGAGTTAGAGAGAAAGATAGAAAGATCTCCCATCTTCTGTTTTACTCCCCAAATGGTGACAACAGCTGGGGCTGGGCCAGGCCAAAGCCAAGAGCCAGAAAGCCCATCTGGGTCTCTTGTGTGGGTGGTAGGTGTCCAAGTACTTGGGCCATCTTCCGCTGCTTTCCTAGGTTCATTAGCAGGGAGTTGGAAAGTGGAGCAGCTGTGACTTTGTATTTCTCATTACTGTGACCCTCTTCTTTTTGTCACTATTACATAATGGATTAGGCTTTAGGAAAACTACTGATTTTTGTATATTCACTTTACATTCTACCTCTGTCTAGTTTAAGTCCCTTATTAGTTTAGGTTTCTCAGCGAATTCTTAACTCCAAATAGAAAACCACAGCACTGGCATATGATGGTAACCCCCATATTGATGCTTTTTCTTTTTTTTTTCATGAGTTTCTGATTTAGTAAGAAACTCCAGAATAAGGCTGAGTAGCAGTGACAGCAAGTGTCCTTATGATTTTAGTAGGAATTCTTGAAGCTTTATCATTAAACTTGATGTTGGCTATGTTCCAAAGCAGCTAATATTTACCAAGCATGTTCTATGTGTCAAGGATACAATTATATCAATCATCACAATAAGTGTGTTTACTGAGAAAGCCCACTTTACAGTTTAGGAAACTAAAGCTTTAAAGGTTAAGTATTTTCTCTAAGTAAAGAATTCTTAAGAAAAAATTATAAAAGCAAACCAATAAACATCCACAAATCTACATTTATATTAGCCTAAAAAATGAAATAATACACAACAAAATGTAAATACTTGTTATTTCTGAGTAGTAAGATTATGAATACACTACATTTATATTTCTAATTCATTTATGATAAATTTTTGGGATACTTAAAATTATTTTAAATTACTATGAATAACAGTAAATACAACTACTTCAAAGTAGCTAAAAAATGAGGATATAAATATGTTCAGCATAAGCTTGGTTTTGGTTTTTATCTCAATAGCATTTAAAAGCACTGTTTTGAGAGTAGTTTGTTGTTGTTGTTTTTTTAATTACTTGAGAGAAACAGAGAGAGACACAGAGAGCTTCCCTCTGTTGGCTCACTCTCCAAATGTCTGTAATGGCTGGGACTATGCTAGGGCCAAAGCCAGGAGCTGGGAACTCAATCAGGTCTCCCATGTGGTGGCAGCAACCCAACTACTTGAACCATCATTGCTGCCTGCTAGCAACACCATCGGCAGAAAGCTGGAGCTGGGATTTGAACCAAAGCACTTGAACGTGTGATACAGCTTCTTAACTGGAATCTTAACTGCTAAGCCAAATGCCCACCACTATAGCATCTTCCTGAAATACTTCACAGTGCTTCATTTAAAAGGAACTTTTTTTTTTTTTGATAGGTAGAGCCAGAGAGAGAGAGAAAGAGAGAGACAGAAAGGTTTTCCTTCTGTTGGTTCACTCTCCAAATGGCCGCTACGGCTGGCGCGCTGTGCCAATCCGAAGCCAGGAGCCGGGTGCTTCCTCCTGGTCTCCCATGCGGGTGGCAGGGCCCAAGCACTTGGGCCATCCTCCACTGCACTCCCTGGCCACAGCAGAGAGCTGGACTGGAAGAGGAGCAACCGGGACAGAATTGGTGCCCCAACCAGGAGTAGAATCCATGGTGACGTTGCCGCAGGTGGAGAATTAGCCAAGTGAGCCATGGTGCCGGACACAATAACAGCTAGGGCTGGGCTAGGTAGAAACCAGGAGCCAGATATTCCTTCTGGTCTCCTACATGGGTAGCAGAACTCAGTACCTGCGCCATCATTTAATGTTCCCCAGGCACATGAGCAGAAAGCTGGATCTAAGCAGAGACAGAGGTGGGACTTGATCCCAGGCCCTCTAACATGAAATGAGGCATCCCAAGCAGTGACTTTTTAACCTGCTGTCCTACAATGCCTGTCCCAGGATCTGCATTTAAAAAGTACTACAGGTGATTCTTTTGTATGAGGTCACACTGAAAACCACCACTCTATATCCTTTGAGGATATGAGGGAAGATGCAATAGCATAATTGTTTTTTTTCAGATTATATTTCACCTTCATTTAGGAGTGTTCATCTTCAGTGCTGAGTCCAAGATTGACGATACATTTAAGTGTCGTATACCAGTTATACCATTGCTTTGCAAAAGAAGTAACTCAGAGAACATCCACCATTACAGTTTCATGATCTAAGAACAGTAAAAAGGCTAAATAGTGGAAGTCATTCCATATTTATTGTGATACAACTGGGAGAAAAAACTTTAAAATAATCAAACAGAAATTATACGTGAGATTTACAAGCTGTAAAACTCTTATATTCAAAGACAACAACCACTATAGAAGTAGAGAATAAAAATATTTGACGGGAAAGACTGCTTACCTTGAGATAACTGCGTTTTTATAGCTCGTGTATCCTGTGTAAAGGCAGAACCAACTGCACTGCTTTGGGACAAAGTACCACTGTTTGATGTTTCAGTTCCAAATGATGTCAAGGAACTTCCAGCTTAAAGAGAATAATAAAAAATTTAAATCTTTTCACCTTCAATTATATAAATATAGCATTTTAATGATGATAATTATTGCCTGCCTACCCCTGTAATACTTGTACAAATTAATAATACTGAATATTAATTAAAGTGTATCAAACAATAGTTTTACAATGTAGGGGTAAAAACTATACAGTATAATATCCTTAGTTATTAATAATTTTTCTCTTTTAGATTTATGTATCTATTTGAAAGGCAGAGTGAGGGGGGTGGGGAAACAGAGCTTCCATCTGCTAATTCACTCTCCAAATGATCACAATGGCCAAGACTGCGCCAGGCTGAAGCCAGGACCTGGAACTCCAATCCAGGTCTCTCAAATGAGTGGCAAGGGGCACAAGCACATGGGCCATCTTCTGCTGCTCTCCCGGACAACAGGAATAGAAGTGGAGCAGCCAGAACTCGAATTGGTGTGCATATGGGATATTGGCATCACAGGTAGTAGCTTAACCTGTTGTGCTACAACACAGGCCCATAAATAATTTTTCTAAAGTACCTAGTATTTTCCTGAGTAATTATGCAGATGGAACAGTAAGGCCCCATATCAGAGCTGTAGCAGAAATGGTATTCTATATCAACAGTAAGGTTCAATTATTCTAAAACTAAGTATCTGCACAAGAAGCCAAATCAGGTCCACTAACAACTTTTTCAGCATTTCCAAGGGAACAGACAATGGATTCCAACTTCAAAGGCATGGCCTACCATTATGCCTAAAGTCACTACAAAAAGTCTGGGTAACACAAGAACTCCAGAAAGGATCCCATTCTCTTATATACTATGTTATGTCAATTTTCTCTAAAATGCTATAGTACTTTTGTATTATCTATTTTTTAGACTGTGCTTTCTTCTTACTTATTATTATATCCTAGTAGGTTTTATATTTATTTATTTTTATTTTCCTCTCATTTGAAAGGCAGAGAGAGAGATGGCAAGAGATCTTTCATCTGCTGGTTTAATCCCCAAATGCCAGCATCACAGAAATCAATCTGGCTCTCGTGCATGGGTGGTAAGAACTTCAACATCTGAGCCATCATCTGCTGTCTCCTAGGGTGTACATTTGCAGGAAGATGAACTGAAGGCAGAGTAGCAGGGACTTGAACCCAAGACATCCAAAGTGGTAATTTAACTGCTATGCTAAATGTCCACTCCTTCTCTATATTTCAACAGCTCCTCTTCCTCAATCTCTAAATCCAACTTAAGATGGTAGTCGGTATAATCTTTGGCAAAATACAAATATAATCACATTAGTACAGTACTTAAGACCCTCTGATAGCTTCCACTGTATTCAACATAAAAGTTCAAATAACTTACCTTGGTTTTTAAGGCCCTGCCCTTTCCTGTTTCTCTCTTTTCTCATCACTTTCCTTATTTTCACCAGTCTAGCCCAACAGTTTACCTTTCTACTCTTAAAGCATATGGGGATCGTGATCATGCCCTTTGCAATGTTCATTTCCAGGTAAGATAATGCCAGTTCCTTCAACAATCACTAACTTTGCATGGTCTTTAAGACACTCCCTCCTCCCTTTGGATTCCTCCTAATTTAATGAATTCTATTTGTTCACAGCCCTCTTTGAAATGGGTATCACAACACAGAACAATATGGTAGGCAATGGGAGCCACTGGAATCCCCTGAGGTGCAGCTCAGAGGGGCAGCAGCTGCAGCCAGTCCAGTAGGGGCATAATAAAACTTCCCACATCTTTGGAAATGTTGCAGGTTGTGCTTCCTAGAATTCTGTGCGAAGCTGAACTCATTCTAATATTACCTCCTGTCTTATAGACATAAGACACTTTAATGATAAGTATTCACATCTCCATCATGCTGTGCTTCTCCACCCAAACTGAACCTCCACTGCTTACCCTGTGGGTCAAGCACTCAACAGTCAGCAAATTCTTCCATAACCCCCATCTCTTCTCCTAGGTCCTCTCCCTACTCTAATTCGACTACTGATTTACATCCATAAGCCACCTCAAATTACTGCTTTATTTGAGGGTAAGGTTTATTTTCTCCACTTAGATAACTGGCTGCTGTAACATTATGTGTTAAAAGGATGTTTCTTTCTCCATTAAATTACAAAGGCACCTTCGTTGTGAATTAGTATTTGAGCAGTTCCTTTTCTTTCTTATAGGATATATAAAAAAACAATTTGATAGGCAGAGAGCATGTGTGTGCTTCCATCTGCTGATTCACCTCCCAAATGCCCCCAACAGCTGGGGCTTAAGACAGGATCTAGGAAATCAATCTAGGTCTCCCACATGAGTGGCAGGAATCCAATCACTTGAGCCAACACTGCTGACTCCCAGGGTCTGCATTAGTACCAAGTTGGAGTTAAGAGCCAGAGCTAGAGTCAGGTATTGAACCCAGGTACTCTGCTTTGGGACTTGAGCATCTTAACTGCTAGGCTAAATCCCTGTCCACAAGTAGGTCTATTTCTTTTTCTTTTTTTTTTTTGAGGCTCTGAAGGTGTTTCTCTTTTTCTGAACAGTCTGGTCCCTGGGGGGCCCTCCCCGCCCCTGCCCGGCCCAGCCACAGCTCCGCCCGGCGCTCGACCTTGAGCAGCTCCACCTGGAACACCAGGGCTGCACCACCTGGGATCTTGGGAGGAGCGCCCCGCTCGCCATACCCCAGCTCCGACGGGATCACCAGCTTCCGCTTTTCCCCCTCACACATCCCCAGCAGTCCCTGGTCCCAGCCTTTGATGACCTGGCCAGTGCCCAGGGAGAAGACGAAGGGCTGCTTCTGGGGCAGGCTGCTGTCAAACTCCGTCCCATCTTCCAGCTTCCCCGTGTAGTGCATGTGCAGCACGTCCCCTTTGCGCGATCTGATGGGACAGTGGTCCACCACTTCTTGACCCCGATCTGCAGCTTCCGCTTGCCTCGGCCCCCATGGCCGTTGCCAGGGCGCTCAGGCAGATGGACAGTACCGTCAGGACCCAGCTGAGCCTCATGTCTCTCCTCGCTGCGCCCCCGGAGTCAATCCCGGTCGTGCTGCCGCCTCCAGGTCTATTTCTGTATTCTCTATTCTTTAACTCTGGTATGTCTGTCTGTCTGTCTGTCTATCTATCTATCTATCTGCCAAAAAGGCACAGTTCTGATTACTCTAAGTCTTGAAATTGGATAGTACAAATCTCAAAACTTCTTAAAGATTTTTCTATCTACCTAAGCTTTATTTATTTTTTTTAAAAGATTTATTTATTTAAAGTCAGAATTACGGGGGTGGCGGGGCTGAGGGGAACAGAGAGAGATCTTCAATCCACTGGTTCACTCCTCAAATGGCCCCAACGGCCAGAGCTGGGCCAGGCTGAAGTCAGGAGCCAGGAGCTCCTTCTAGGCCTCTTAGTGGGTGCAGGCCCCAACCACTTGGACCATCCTCTGCTATTTTTCAAGGTGCATCAGCAGGGAGCTGAATGGAGCAGCTTGAACACAAACCGGTGCCCATATGGGATGCTGGTGCTGCAGATGGTAGCTTAACGTTTAACTCACTGCACCACAGTGCCAGACTAGCTATCCTAGGCTTTGAATTTTCATATAAATTTTAGAATTAGCATGTCAATGTCTATTTTTAAAAATGTCTACTGGGATTTTGACTAGAATTATTCTGAATTTGTAAATCAGGTTTGGGGAAGATACCAGCTGAAATATATACTCATTAGCACAGGTTAACCCTCCATTTATTTAGATTTTTAATCTCAGTAGTGTTCCTAAAGTTTTTTGTGGAGCCAGATTTTCTCAACTTTGGCACTACTGACATTTTGGACCAGATCATTCTAAGTATTTGTTTGCTTGCTTGTTTTTTGGTGGGGCGGGGAAGGTGTTATCCTAGTATCCCTGGCTTCAGCTTACAGGATACAAGTAGTATTCTCTAGTTATGGCTATCAAAAATATCTGTAAGGGCTGGCGTTGTGGTGTAGTGGATAAAGCCACTGCCTGCAATGCTGGCATCCCACATGGGCACCAGTTCAAGTCTCAGCTACTCCACTTCCAATCCACCCCTCTGCTATAGCCCGGGAAAGCAGCAGAGGATGGCCCAAGTCTTTGGGCCCCTGTACCCGTGTGGGAGACCCGGAAGCAGCTCCTGGCTCCTAGCTTTGGATTGGCCCAACTCTGGCTGTTGCGGCCATTTGGGGAGTGAACCAGTGGATGAAAGACATTTTTCTCTCTGCCTCTAACTCTGCCTTTCAAATAATAAATAAATTAATCTTGAAAAAAAAAATCTCCATATACTTCATTGCCAAATGTTCCCTGAGGAGAGTAAAATTAACTCCATCCATTAAGAACTACTGTTGTAGAGGCTTCAAAAATATTTGTTATATTTATTTTTGAGTGTTTGATGTTTGTTGATGCTACTATATACAGTATTACGTTACACATTTCACTTCCCAATGATCTGTTCTAAATCAGATGTCAACCAACTTTTCAATAAGTGGCCAGATGGTATGTAAAATATTTTAAGCCTTGTAAGTCATATGAGCTCAGCACCGCCTGCTCTACTCTGCCCTTGTAGTACAAAAGCCTCCACAGATACATGTAAATAAATAGGTGTAGCTGTGTTCCAAACAAATTTCATTCACCAAAAGGAGGCTGGCTGGATTTGGTTTATAGGCCAGCTTGCCAGCTGTTTATCTAAAATACAAAAATATAGTTGATCTTACGTATTTACCATGTATCTATTCACTTATCATGTTTAATTCACAAATTTATTCTAGTGGTCATATTCAATATTCCTTTGTATATTCAGTACACTCAATCATGTCACCTTTACATAAAAATACTTGTCCACTCCCCAATTGGCCTCAACAGCCAGAGCTGCGCCAATCCAAAGCCAGGAGCCAGGGGCTTCTTCCGGGTCTCCCTCATGGGTGCAGGGGCCCAAGGACTTGGGTCATCTTCTACTGTTTTCCCAGGCCATAGCAGACAGCGGGATCAGAAGTGGAGCAGCCGGGACTTGAACTGGTGCCCCTATGGGATGCCAGCACTGCAGGCAGTGACTTTACCTGCTACGCCACAGTGCCAGCCCCCCAATATTTATGCCTCTTCTTACCTACTGAACTGGCTAAGATCCCCAAGCATTAAGTAGAAACAATAAAAAGTAATTATGCCTTAGCTTTATTTCTGACTTTAGGGGAAAAAGTTCATTAAATCACTATTTTATGTTAACGCTTTTTCATTTATTTCACTGATCAAATTTAGGAAATTCCCTTCCATTTCTTATCTGTGGATAAATGGGTACTATGTTTTATTAAATATTCATTTAATATATGAGATGACTGCAGTTTTTCTTCTTTATTCTGCCAGTGTGGTAAGTTACTAACAACTTTCAAATATTAAAACTTTGTAGTGTTCAGATAGATCTCACTTCATTATGTGCTATCCTTTGGAATTGCTAGATTCACTGTCAAAATTTTGTTGAGGATTTTTACAATTATGCTCAAGGAACATGGCAATTTTTTTCCTTGCAATGATCTTATCAGTTTGGTATCTCAGCTATCTAGTCTTGGTTATTTGATTAGTAAATATTCATTTTTCCTCAATTCTCTGAAAGAGACTGTCCAAGAAGAGTGAAAATTATTTCTGGGGTTGGTGTTTGGCCTAGTGGTTAAGACACTGGTCAAGACACCCTGTCCCGTATCAGAGTACCTGGGTTTAATAACCTGATTCTGACTTCTGATTTCAGTTTCCCAGTGACTAAGACCCTGGCAGGCAGCAGTTAACGGCTCAAATAATTGGATTCTTGCCATCCACATGCAAGACATCGATTGAGTTCCCGGCTCCCAGCTTTGGCAGGGCCCAGCCCTTAATACTGCAGGAATTTTGGGAGTAAATCAGAGGATTCTGCCTCTCAAGTAGTTAATTATTTCTGGGACCAGTGTTGTGGTGTAGCAGGTAAAGCCACTGCCTGCAGGGCCAGCATCCCATATGGGCAATGGTTCAAGTCCCAGATGCTCTACTTCTGATCCAGCTCTCTGCTATGGCCTGGGAAAGCAGTAGAAGATGGCCCAAGTGCTTGGGCCCCTGCATCTGTATGGGAAACCCAGAGGACACTCCTGGCTTTGGATCAGCTCAGTTCTGGCCTTTGCAGTCATTTGGGGAGTGAACCACAGGATTAAGACCTCCCTCTCTGCAATTCTGCCTTTCAAATAAATAAATCTTTTTTTTTTAAATTATTCTCTAAATATATGGTAGAATATATCAGTAAATAAAATGCTCTAGAATTTTCTTTGTAAGAGATTTAAAATTACAGTTTCAACTTCATTAACAGATATAGGAACATGGAAACTTTATTTCCTCATCATTGCTCCAGCCAATGAGGCCATTTCGGTTGGAAGATTTCTCTCCGTCTCCTTCTGTCTCTCAAATAAATAAATCTTTAAGAATCTCTCCTGGGGCCGGTGCTGTGGCATAGTGGGTTAAAGCCCCATCCTGCAGTGCCTGCATCCCATATGGGTACCAGTTCAAGTCCTGGCTGCTCCTCTTCTGATCTAACTCTCGGCTATGGCCTGGGGAAGCAGAAGATGGGCCAAGTCCTTGGGCCCCTGTACCTGGGTGGGAGACCCAGAAGAAACTCCTGGCTCCTGGCTTTGGAGCAGCTCAGCTCTGTCCATTGCAGTCATTTGGGGAGTGAACCAGCCAATGGAAGACCTTTCTTTCTGTTCTACCTCTCTAACTCTTTCAAATAAATAAAACAAATTAAAAAATTACTCTTTTATCGCTGATAGTATTTTTTTTTAAAGATTTATTTATTTATTTGAAAGGCACAGTTACAGAGAGGCAGAGGCAGAGAGAGAAAGAGAAGTCTTCCATCTACTGGTTCACTCCCCAGATGGCTGCAATGGCTGGAGCTGGGACGATCTTAAGCCAGGAGCTTCTTCCATGTGGGTGCAGGGGCTCAAGGACTTGGGCCAGCTTCTACTGCTTTCCCAGGCCATAGCAGGGAGCTGGATTGAAAATGAAGCAGCCAGAACTAGAACTGGCACCCATATGGGATGCTAGTACTACAGGCTGCAGCTTTATGTCACGTCACAGCGCTGACCCGATCTTGATATTTAAGCTGCTTGACCAAGATTATTATATATGCACAAATTTTCTTGTTATTGTTGTTTGTGTGATTTTTTTCCCTATTCTTTCAATGCATCTTTTACAATTATATAGTGGGCCTTTAAAAAAATCCAGCCTGTCCATCTCCACCTTTTAACTATAAGATTTAGTTCCTTTATCATTTTCCAAAATAGTTAACAATTCTCAATCTTGCATGCAAAATGTATGACATATCCTCCTGTTTTTATGGTAACTGTAAACTTCTTAAGTATATCTTCTAAGTTCTTATTAAACTTAGTATATTAAAAATTAATCTGTACAAACACTGGAGACCCAAGAGAATCACCATCCAATTTTGTTTACTTATTTTAAGATTTATTTTATTTGTTTGAAAGGTAGAGTGAGAGAGTAAGTGAGAGAGAAAGAGAGACAGAGACAAGATTGTTCTTCCATCCACTGGTTCAGTCCCCAAATGGCTTCAACAGCCAGGACTGGACCAGGTAGGTCAAAGACAGGAGCCAGAAACTCCATCCAGGTCTTCCACATGTGTGGCAAAGGCTCAAACACTTGGGACATCTGCTACTTTCCCAGGTGCACTTGCAGGGAGCTGGATTGGAAGTGGGGTAGCTGGGATTCGAACTAGCATGGATAATGCCGGTCTTGCAAGTGGTGGCTTACTCTAACTCATTGCACTACAACACCAGCCCCTGGTTTGCCTATTTAACAAGTTAAAATGCACCCATTTCTCTGTCCTTTCAGTCAACATTTATCCGTTTTGCTGATAAGAGGATGAGACTTCGCATACAAGCTAGTAAAACTACTGTAATGACTTATAAAGAAACAGCTATGGGCCAGAGCTGTGGCATAGTAAGCTAAGCCACCGCCTGTGGCTCCCATGCCCATATGGAAGACCTTTCTCACTTTCTCTCCCTCTGCCTGTAACTATCTTAAAAAAAGAAAAACAAACAAACAAAAAACCCCCATGGGTTTATGGGGGTGTAACCCTATCATTCGTTGGGAACACCTGTATATGGAAAGTAGAAAAAAACTTTCCCATTAAATAGCAGTAATGTAATTCTGATTTGTTTAAACTCCCTTTTAAATCCAAACACCAGAAACCAAGGGCAAGCATTTGGTGCAGTGGTTTAAGTCACTGCTTGAGCACCTGGTGTTGTGGCGTGGCAATGTAAAGCCACTACCTGCAACGCTCGCATCTTTTAAGGGTGCTGGTTCCAGCTTTTGTGCCTGGGAAAGCAGTGGAAAATGGCCCAAGTGCTTGGGCCCTTGTACTCATGTGGGAAACCCGGCAAAAGCTCCTGACTCCTGGCTTTGGCCTGGCCTGGCTCTAACTGTGGCAGCCATTTAGGGAGTGAACTAGCAGATAAAGATTCTCTTTCCCCCTCTTCCTCTCTCTGTGTGACTTTCAAATAAATAAATCTTTTTAAAAGGGGCGGGGAGGGAGCCGGCCGGTGCTGTGGCTCACTTGGCTAATCCTCCACCTGCAGCGCCGGCACCCCAGGTTCTAGTCCCGGTTGGGGCGCCGGATTCTGTCCTGGTTGCTCCTCTTCCCAGTCCAGCTCTCTGCTGTGGCCCGGGAAGGCAGTGTAGGATGGCCAAGTGCTTGGGCCCTGCACCCGCATGGGAGACCAGGAGAAGTACCTGGCTCCTGGCTTCGGATTGGCGCAGCACGCCAGCTTAGCAGCCATTTGGGGGGTGAACCAACTTTTCTCTCTCTCCCACTGTCTAACTCTGCCTGTCAAAAAAAAAAGTTGGGGGCGCATACTATTCACAAGTACTGAACACATGTCCTCCCACATACTTTTTTTTTTTTTTTTTAAAGATCTATTTATTTATTTGAAAGGCAGAGTTGCAGAGAGGCAGAGGCAGAGAGACAGAGGTCTTCCATCCACTGATTTACTCCCCAGATGGCCACAATGGTTGGAGCTTCTTCTGGGTCTCCAGGTGACTGCAGGGGCCCAAGGACTTGGGCCATTTTCTACTGCTTTCCCAGGCCACAGCAGAGAGTGGGATCAGAAGTGGAGCAGCTGGGAATCGAATGGGCGCCCATATGGGATGCCAGCACTGCAGGTCGTGGCTCAACCTGCAGAGCTACTGTGCTGGTCCCGCTGCTAACATTTTGCTGCATCTACTCCATCTCTTTATACTTTGATGTATAACTTCTCTTGCCAGATAAGCTGTAACAATTGGATCATTTACCCTTAAATCCTTCCAAACTATCTCCCCCATTCTTCTGTATAGTTAACTACCACACAATTAAGAAAATCAGAAGTAAATATACCATCTAACTACAGTAGTCCATACTCAAAGTTTCTAAATCCATGATCTGACCTCATATTACATCTGAATGCCTTCTCACCTGTTTTCCCCAGCCCAGAAAAGTTCTATTGCCTCTCTGTTCTATGTAACATTGATTCTTTTTGTTTTGCAAGACATGCCATCTTCTGTACACACACACACCTTTTCAGAATCAGACTCTGCACTTAGTCCACATACCACAAAGATGATACACATCCTCCTAATCATCACAAACAGATATCAACTACAGCAATGCTCAACTTTTGATTAGATCTTTCTGTTACTAAAACAGGCACATTTACTGCCCCTCATGTAACTGATAAGTAAGTTATGAGATGATAATTTTTTATAAGATTTATTTATTTATTTGAAAGACAGAGTTACAGAGGCAGACACAGAGAGAGACAAAGAGAGGTCTTCCATCCGCTGGTTCATTCCCCAAGTGGCTGCAACGGCTGCAGCTGGGCCGATCTGAAACCAGGAGTTTTTTCTGGGTCTCCTGCATGGGTGCAGAGGCCCAATGACTTGGGCCATCTTCTATTGCTTTCCCAGGCCATAGCAGAGAGCTGGATCAGAAGTGGAGCAGCCAGGACTCGAACGGGTACCCAAATGAAATGCCAGCACTGCAGGCAGTGGCTTTACCTGCTATGCCACAGTGCTGGTCCTGATAGATAATTTTTTATGATATCTCAGAATAGGTTTTTTAAAAAAATGTTTGTTCATTCATTTGAAAGGCAGAGTGACATACACAGACACAGGGAGAGCTTTCATCTGCCGGTTCAATCCCCAAATACCTGCAATGGCTGGGGTTGAGCCAGTAGCCAAGAACTGCATTAGGGTCTCCCATATGGTTGGCGGAGACTCAGTACTTGAGCCACCACCTGCTGCCTCCTAGGTGCACGAACAGGAAGGTGGATCAGAAGCAGACCCAGGACTCCATTCCAGGCACTGATATGGAATGCAGGCATCCCAAATGGCTTAACCTGCTGTGCCACAACATCTGCCTTCCCACCATCCACCACTCCTTTTACATATTATCAGGCATTTTTCTTTTTTTCCATCTTTTTTCAAGAGCCCCTGTTTCCTTTCAATCAGAAATAGTATTTAGAAACTGAGAACTAGGTCTACATCTGTTCCTTGCCTTTGGGTACCACTGATTCTTGGTTCTTCCTAGGACGAGAGCAAGGAAATAACTAGTTTCTTAAGAAATGAGTTCAAAGACATATCTGTTTATATTCAATACTGTAAGGTTCTTTCTCAACTTTCACCTTCCATTATATGTACCTTCTTTCTCCACAATAAGAACACTGTTTCCCAACATCAATATATTTGCTCTGTTTTATAATAAATACAAAACAGTTTAAGAATTAAACTAAGTTTTCTTAATAGTTCTAATTAAAATATGATTTTTTGGAATAGAATTAAAAAGATTAAGGGCTAGAGCTTAAGATTTAAAGTCAAGATGCTATTATAATGCTTGCAACTCATATTGTAGTATTTGGATTAGATATCCAGTTCCGACTCCTGACTCTGACTTCCTCCTAATGCAGACCCTGGGAGGCAGGACTGATGGCTCAGGGAATGAAGTTCATGCCACCCACATGGGAGAACCAGATGGTTATCCAAGTTTTTAGCCTCAGCCCTGGTCATTGTGGGCATTTCAGTAGTCAACCAGCTGATAAGCATTCTCTGTGTCCCAAATAAATAAAAATAAAATAACACTGAGTTGATCTAAGTGTGTCTAGCTCTTGCACTCAAAGGCTTTTGCCCTCTACTTCAGTAGGCCTGTCATATTTTCATTACAGTTTAATGCTTTGAAAACACTGTTAGAACAAACAAAGCACAGGCACTAGCAACGGGGAGCCGCATTAGGCTGCCACATGTGATACCAGCATCCCATACAAGCCCCAGTTTGAGTCCTTGCTGCTCTACTTCTGATCCAACTCCCTGCTAATGTGCCTGGGAAAGCAGTGGAAAATGGCTCAAGTGCTTGGGCTCCTGTCACCCACGTGGGAGACTCGGATGGAGTTCCAGGGTCCTGACTTTGTTCTGGCTTAGCCTTGGCTGTTGTAGTCATTTAGGAGTGAACCAGTGGACTGCAACTCTGCCTTTCAAATAAGTAAAATAAATCTTTAAACAAACAAAGCACTAAGTCCATATAGTTGCTATACATGAGCATCTCTCACAGGTGAGTGTTAATACTTTACTCAATATAAAGAACATATATATATACTAATATGTAAGTAATACTAATATATAATCTATCATATAAATAATGTTCCTTAATGGCATCATCATTCACTAATGATATTATTTACAATTCCCTTTTGGAAAAGTGTCCCTGTTGAAAAAATGTTCAGGGGTCAGCGCTGTGGCATAGCAGGTTAAAGCCCCAACTTTCAGTGCCAGCATCCCATATGGGCGCTGGTTCAAGTCCTGGCTGCTCCTCTTCTGATCCAGCTCTCTACTATAACCTGGGAAAGCAGTGGAAGATGGCTCAAGGGCTTGGGCCCCTGTACCCATGTAGGTCCCAGAAACTCCTGGTTCCTGGCTTCAGATTGGCCTAGCTCCAGTTGTTGTACTCATCTGGGGAGGGAACTAGTGGTTGGAAGGCCTTTCTGTCTGTCTTTAACTCTGCCTCTCAAATAAATAAATAAATCTTAGAACAAAAGTTCATTTTTAAATGGTCAGATGAAGATTTACATCTTTCAGGGGCCAGCTTTCTGGTGTAGCAGGTTAAGACTGCTTAAGACACTGGCATCCTGTACTGGAGTGTTAGTTGGGCGTCACAGCTACTCTGCTTCCCATCCAGCTCTTTGCTAAAGTGCATGGGGGACTAGAATGGAGTTCCGGCTCCTGGCTTTGGTCTGACCCAGATCATGCTGGTGCAGTCATTTTGGGAGTGAACTAGCAGATGAATGATCTGTTTCCTTCTGCCTTTCTTAAAAATTCAATAAAATCTAGTAATTAGAAACACCTAGGTTTAAAATATGTGACTATTCTCAAAGTTTTTTTTTTTACAGAACCATTAATCACTAAGGACATTAAAAAAGGCTTTAAAATAATAATCAGATCGCAAAATAAGGTTACAAAAGGAACATCAACCAACATTTTCTGAAGGTGTGGGGTAAATTCTCCACAACTTCATGTAAAGATTACAAAAAATAAGAAGAATAAGAAAAAAAACTAGCACATACCAACACCAACAGTACCAAACTGCTGCCCGACTAATGAACTTGGACTGAACTGACTATATGTCGGCATCCTGCCAAAAGGTCCGTAGGAACCCACTGACTGGAATGAAGAAGCAGATGAACCTAGTGAAGACTGAAGGAAAATCAGGTTATTTTTCCATGCTCTAAGCAACATACGAGTGATGGAAAGAAATTCAGAGTTTCAAGAAAACTATTAAATAATAACTATGAGATACAAAAAGAATTCAAATAATTTCCAGTATGTTTTTAATATTAAATAGCTGAACAATCTGATTTCAATATGTACCAGTTACTTAATGTGATTTACAAATTTTTTCTATAATAAACTCTCCCTTTAAGAGTTAAACTTAACCCAACCCAACCTAAAATATATTATTGTACATATATGCAGTGTGTTCATTTACCATATTATAAAATACTTTATAGTATAAGTAACAACAGTATTAAAGGCTCTCAGGATACAAATTCATTGATAGAAGGGCCTTATCCATGCATTCACTGCTAATATCAAACGCATATCAGGAATTTCATAAATACTGTTAGATGAATAGGTAAAAGGGCCAAGTTGAAGTTACTCAACACCTGAGTAACAACATTCTGATTTGTGCTCTTTTAGTTTTTCTCCTTCCATAAAATTAAATAACTGGTTCCCAAATAATTACTCAAAGATACATATAATAGACAGTAAGATAACACTAGTTTCTGCTGTAGGCAGCTATTTAAGAGTGTGTCTCTTCTTTCTCCATTTAATTGATTCAAAATTTTTTCTTGATTCCTTCAGACTTCATTCCCCCAAAATAAGACTTAACAAAGGAAGGACAGATGAGATTACAACACTTTTCCAGTTTATGGTACAAGAACCAAATTTACATTTAAAAAAATATTTGTTTTCATCTACTTTAAAGGCAGACAGAAAGAGATAGATAAGAGAGATATATCTTTCACTCACCGGTGTACTCCCCAATGCCCACAACAGCCAGGGTTGGGCCAGGCCAAAGCCAGGAGCCTGGAACTCCATCGAGATTTCTCACATGGGTGACGGGGACCCAAACACTTAAGTGGTCATCTGCTGCCTTCCAGAATGCAGCAGCAGGAAGCTGCATCAGAAGCAGTGTAGCCGGGACTTCAACCCATATTTTGATATAGGTTGTGGGCATCCCAAGCAGTAGCTTAACTCGCCACAATGCCTGCCCCTTACAGTTTCTTATTAAAATGGTTATATTCAGGGAAAAAAGTAAATAAATATTATAAGGTACTTCTTTTCACTTTGACTTTTCTATTTATTTTCAGATGAGCTTATTAAATATTTTCCTTTAGTACTTGGAAATAAGTCAAATCTTATGCAAGATAATATTCAGAAGCTATTTTGTGGAACACTCAGATTTATCACAGCGTAAAAAAGGATGAAGATGGGTGCTGGTGTTATAACACAGAGTTATAACACAAGTTTCCAATTTGGTACTGGCATCTCATGTCAGAGTGCCAGGTTGAGTCCTGGCTGCTCCACTTCTGATCCAGCACCCCTAAGAATTTGCCTGGGAGGGTAGCGGATGACACCCCAAGTGCTTGGGCCTCTGACACTCACGTGGGAGACCAAGATGGAGTTCCTGGCTCTTGGTTTCAGCCTGGTCCAGACCTGGCTGCTACAGCCATTTGGGGAGTGAACCAGCAGATGAAGAGCTCTGTCTGTCTCCCCCTCCCTCTCTGACATTCTTTGAAATAAACAAATCTTAAAAAAAAAAAAAAAAAAAAAAGTGTGTGTGTGTGGAAAAAAAGACAATTTAAAGCAATCAAAGTATACACTGCTGAAAAACAAGCATATTTCAGTGCAAATAACAAAGACATAATAGGAAAAAAAAAAAAAAAAAAGATGAGGAGAAACAATTTAGGGAGGAAATCATGGGAGACCAAACCATCCCCTCAACTAAAAATACTCTTAGGTGAAACTGATTTTTCTGTTATAGTCAAAATTTAGAAAGCCTTCATGTGCTTCCAATGAACACGGAAAAACTCAGAATTTACAGTTGTGTAAATATTTCTATTTTTACAATATGAAAATTTTAAATTCTTTCTAAGAATAATTAAGGTCTTTAAATTTAGGAATTAAAGAACTTTCCATATAGGTTAAAATCTTTTTACTTGTGTGATATTATGTATCACTAAATATCACATAATATATAACATGAATTAGCAATTTTCCCCATTAAATCAAATAATTTTAGCAAAGAGTAACAATTATCACCCTGACTTAATCATGGTAACAAGCTTAGAGTATGTTATGAAGACTGTCTTCTTTTATGATCCAAAGAGGCAAATCTAGATTAGAACATTATCCGAGCAATTTCAGGTATCCAGGTTACTTAGAAATGGTAACATGAACATTCAACTGGGAGAGGCAAAAGCCAAGGCCAGCCATGGGTGAGGTTTATTTACACTCTAAGGCAGATATACTGTCAGTTACCTGCACGATAGCTGGGTCCTGAGGCAAAGAGCACTGTGGTTTCGGTGGCTCACAAACGGTGAGGTCTTTAATATCACTCCCACGGAATATGATGTATTCAAAGACTTCATCTCGAGGTGGTATTGGACGATCTGTTGGTCTGTCTTCTGTACCAAAGGATCGAACTGGTGGGAAAATAAAGGACAAGAGATGTGTGTCTATTCATATTCAGGTAGCACCTCTTTTAAGCGTTGTATTTTCCAAGCACTACACAGTAATCTGTGAAAAGGTATTCATTAATCTGTAGCTAAGTAAGAGTAGGTTTTGCCTAAAGCTAAATGCATTCAATTTAATTTATTGTCTTATGAGGTTGTGTTCTTCCTGTACTTTTATTTATATCTTTGTTGATCGTGGTGAGAAGAGGTGTTAAAAAGATCTTCCTCTCATTGCTGACCTGTTTTTAATAAACTCATTCAGTAAAATAAAAATATGGCAATGTCATATTTTTTGGTGGTAGGAGGTGGCAATGAAGATTTTTCCAGCCCACGAAATCCCCAGGTTTGGGAAATTGAGCTTTTAGACTAAGAGAAGACAATGTAGTAATGTTTACCTTGGTGAGCAGCTGCCTCCAGAAGCCCAGCTGAGTGCTATCGGTTATACTGCCCCAGGAGACAGCCTGAAATGCCTTGGCTAGCTAACATATCTAGTATATAATTAAATCTGATTATTTTAACACTGAAGATAACATTATTCAAAGTTAAACCATAGACCACCTGAAACAGCGTAAGCTGGCAACAAATGACGATGTCCACTGAATTAGAATTATCCAGGACACTAATTTCCTGAGTCTCTTACAAATATCAGGTTCACTGTCTAAAGGATACTTCTGAAACTGTTCACAATCACACAGAAGTTCTGAGCAAGAAAAGTCTGAAACGTCACATAATATTCACTTAAAGAGTGTCCCGAAGCAAATAAACCCTTCAACATTGTGCAAAATTTTGAACACAAACATCTTTCTGCTGAACTGACCCAGAGTTAGACTGAGGATAAATGTTATTTCAATTTAAAAATGCCGTATTTTCTTTAAAAAAAAAAAAATTTATTTAAAAGGCTGAGTCACAGAGAGGCGGGGGGGGGGGGGAGAGGGAGAGAGAGAGATAGAGAGAGATATCAGTCTTCCATCTGCTGGTTCACTCCCCAGATGGCTGCAACAGCTGAAGCTGTCCTGAAAGGAAGCCAGGAGCCAGGAGCTTCTTCCAGATCTTCCACGTGGGTAAAAGGGTCCAAGGACTTGGGCAATCTTCTATTGCTTTCCCAGGCCATAGCAGAAAGCTGGATTGAAGTGGAGCAGCCTGGGCTTGAACGGGAGCCTACATGGGATGCTGGCACTGCAGGCGGCGGCTTTACCCACTACACCACAGTGTAGAATGCCTTATTTTCTTATTCTGAAAATCTTTCCTAGCACTCACAAGACTTCTGGGAAAGATGATGGTATGGATGGGTTTATAAAAGAACATCTTTTTCTAAGACTGAAGGAAATGAAAAAATACTAAACTATAACATTAAATGTTATTAAAAACATTGAGATATAGAACAAGATAGTCCAAATAGGAAGACCAAACCCAGAATCCATACCAGAAGGTAGTCCCAGAGAAATGTTCGCTGGTACTGGCCAACTTTGTAGATGGGGGCTGTGACACAGGTGTGACAGTGCAAAGTTATGGAATGCCCTAGCTGACAGTCCCCTTTCCTAACAGCCAATCAGTACTATAGTGGACAGGAAGAAGAAAACAAATTTCACACTTTCAGCTTTATGTAAAAGGAAGGCTGATGAAGAGAAAGGACTAAGAAAATTTCAAATAAGTCAATCTCACCCCCAACCTCAGCACCAAAATCCAAAGAAGCAAGTTAGTTAATTAAGAAGCAAGAGGGAGGAAAGTCACAGCATACCCAGGTGAAATCAGAGTTAAAAGAACATCTGCCACCTCCCTTTAGGCCAGCAGCAGTCATCAAAAGGAGTTAAGGAAAAAAAACCAAAAGAGTAGAAAGCAGGGAATCAAGAAAAAGTTTACAGAAAATGTGAGGAGAAAAGGCGACAATCCTCAGGACCTGTCATTTGCTGTGATAGTTCAACAGAACACCACACGTGGCAGGAAGACACTGTGGTACAGCAATGGAGAGATCCCCAAGGTTGAAACATGGGCACTGACAGTAGAAAGAAAGGAGGCACGCCAAATACAGAAAACATAGAGAATTACCAGTGCTGTTCTGTTACAATATGTTCCAGCACACGAATTACCTCCTATGCATTCGTAAGGAAGGGAATTATGTCAGGATATTACAAAACCACATAGATTCATCCCCAACTTTTCCTGACATATTATTTATTGTTTTGCACTAAATTTTGTAACTGCAGGTAATTGCATCAAGCTACTAAGGAACAGTATATTAAGCCCGCTCATCCCAAGTTTCCTCTCAGCTCAATCTGGCTACACACTCAGTCTTACAAGTGCATGTTTC